TTGAATTTATGATACATTAGGAATTTAATTTAGTAATGAATGAAAAGATATTCCCTTAGAAAGACATGGCTTAAAGCTACATTTTACGGCCATTGCTTAGTAAGATTCAGTTGGCGTAGTTTCCCTAGTACAGGGATGGCGAACCAATGGCACGCGTGCCATTTATGGCATGAGACACAATATTCTGGGCACGCCACCGATCACAAAGTTCAGTATAAAGCATATTAACAATTAAATTGAAATTAAAAAAAAACAAACAATTATTAACAAAACAATTTACAATTAATGCTAAAAAAACAATTAATAACCATAAAAAACAAGCTAACAATAAATAGCTAGCAAAAAAAATTTAACAGTCCTGCTTAAACTAACATCTTACAACCTAATATAAGTTATTTGTCATCCAATCCGCAACAACAGAAGTCACACTGATGTTACTTTAAGTTGAATTACGCGTATAACTGAGACATTGCAAAATGTATTTTTTTTTCATAGTAAATAAAGAGTTTTGAGTTGATAGTATTTAGTATTATTATTTTCCCAATAATCACGAAGTCAAAATTATTTGACAGCACGTCTATGACCTCATTAAAAATTTTTTTGAAAAAATGGCACATTGTTGCATAAAGGTTCGCCACCCCTGCCCTAGTAGATGCCTTTAGCATTAGATGTTGTTTATTGTTTCAGAGTTATGGTTGCTCTCTCGCTTTGAATTTCAGTTCTTTGTTTCCAACAAAAAAAGCAAAGAAGTGGTATCACTTTTTTAGAGACATATGTATTAGTATATTATGTAATGAAGATAATTCTATTAAAATTATGTAACAATTATTAATAATATTTCAAAAAAATATTTATTTTTTTTAAAAATATTACAATGATCATAAGGTTTTCCATTCACGCGGCATACAGTTCTTTACTTGATTATTTGTTATATGAATCATAAAAGCAAAGGTTCTTCGATGTTGCTTCCCATGATATGGTTGAAATGTGTTCAGTATTGCACACCAACCACCGTTACTTCCTAGGCTAATTAGTATCCATTTAAGTTTGTATACCTTACAACAGTGTTTCCCAAACTTATTACTTTTCTGTACCCTCTCTACATTTTTCGTAACGCTGTGTACCACTAATAAAAAAAATTAATGTATTTTTTACTATAAAAAATTAGACAAAAGTTAAAAATTGGACAAAAGTTCAAAATCACAACTGGCAGTTGACACCACTAATTATTAAGTGTTAACTCTGCAAAAAATAGCCAATAGAAAAATAAGTAATCGTAAATTTTCATGTCTAGCTTTGTTTTTAAATAAAAATTATTAAATTTTTGTTTGTTGCAAGATATTTCGCATAAGAACGTGTACCCCCTCTAAACTGTTCCCGTATGCCTGGGGGTACGCGTACCACACTTTGGGAAACACTGCCTTACAATATATAATGAATTACTGAACACAATAATATACTAATAAAGCTAATGAAAAGGAGTTTATTATTATTTTATTTCTGAATTACTATAATTCGAAAGAGGATATTGATAACAAAAGAAAGAATAAAGCCTTTACATTTTCCTTAAAAAATATTCTTGACTAAATAAAAAATCATTTTTACTTTAGATTCTTTTCAGAAAAGAAATATTGAGAAACGCAACCAATCAGGTGATAAAAATTAATAATATTTTAAAAAAATACTAGATGCCTCATATTTGAGGGAAAAGATAGAATTAAAGATACTTTCAATTTGTTTTGCATTATTCATCTTATATCACAAAAATGCCCTTAAGAAAACAACGTGTTTTTTTTTTCTTTCTATTATGTAGATTTTCTCAATTACAGAAGATCCAGTATGAGAAACAGATTTGAGATTTGGTATTTTACTCAAACCTTAACCAGCATGACTCATTGCATTCTTTTCAGATACCATTGGAAATGGGGGGAAATATCAAAATTAATGAAATGTCAGAGGCAAGAAACTTTGTGGCTCCTAAATTTCTTTAAAAAAATTATTGAAACATTGTCTGGCAAAATATTTAATGTTTGTATAATTTCGTTTTATCTGAGAACCAAATGAAAGTCGTCCTTTTGTACTGAAATAAATAAATCGACGTTATTTTTAAAACTCTATTCACGATGAGGATGAATAAAAGATTCCGTTCAAAAAGTGAGAGTCACAGTTTGTATCAACATATGTGTTCACCTTCCTTTATTTTTCCCTGCAAATGGTTTATGAACTGTAATTTTATAATGTAATCTAATAATGTATCAAATATATATATAATTTATAAAAATAAGAACAATTTCATAACTACGGAGTTCTGTTCTGGTTTTCCCTCAACTGAGGAAACATTTTCAAAAAGTTGACTTTAGAGACTGTTTCCAATCAAAAACATTTGTTCGACAAAGTTACTTCAGTATCAGAGGTAACTCTGCTTTTAGAACTTAAATTTAAGGAGAAAAAAAAGGAAAATACATTTTTACACTGTTTGTACATTTTTCAAATGTAGGACCAGAAATTTTTCCTGAGTTTAACTCATAGAGAAATGCATGAAATTGTTTCATGAAGTTAAAAAAATCGCTAAAGTAAACCCAGTTGTCCGCTTAAAAAATATTTTTAGTAGAACTTGTTAATTTTCACGCCTTTTCAGAAACAGTGAATTCGGAAGACAAACGAACTAACACTAGAATGATGGATGGGGCCAATTTGTCTCTCATTTTTTGTTGCTCTGTAAATTCGAAAAATAATTTACTGAAAGTGTTGAGTAATTTTTACTTTCCATAATTTAATTGATTATAAGTGCTTATTTAATCATTCATGGGTTAGCCTTATGGGTTAGCCTTTTCTATGGGTTAGCCTTATCTATTATATGGGTTAGCCTTATCTATATCCGTTCATGGGTTAGCCTTATCTATGAACCTCAGAACTAGAATGAGAGTAAGAGTGGCCCCTGAGATATATTTTGGTAGGTATCCCATGAGATCGGGTTTTTCGGGGGATCCTCTAGTAGATATAAGGTATCATTAAAAATATCAGAGTATTTCAGCATATGTTTATTATTTTTAGAGAAAAGAAAACTCAATTATCTAAGAAACTAATGCATATGTGTTCTTGATAAGCCAGTGTTCCATTTAATAAATAATTTTACTAAATTGAATTAAATACCAACGAATTTTCACGCTCTGGTCAATAATATGTTTTTAATTAGATAATTAGGATTATATTTTAAGATTTTGGATGCCCAATCCACACACAAACAACATGGTCCAACTGATCCCTTCTGTCTTTTTAGGTACTCAGCAATCTCCAATTTTTCTAGTGTTAAGTTGTTTTTCAAACAACTAGTGTTGATAAAAATTAAAATGATAGATTATTTTTCTCAAAACTTTGTTTTTTTTAACTCTTAAAGTCTCGAATTTTAACTTTATTTCATGCATCCACTGTCCGAATTTCAGGTAAAACAAAGAGACAGACAATATAGTTGATCCCTTTTATTTTTATAGATTTTAAAATTATATTTCGTTGTAAACTTTAATCTGTCCCTTAGATGTACTTGATTTACTTAAAGTGTGTGATCCATATTTCTTCAATATTTTTAATATTGAACATAATTTTTTATTATGTTCAATATTTAAAATATTGAAGAAATATGGATAATGTCTCTTCTTCATGTCTCTTCTTCAAATATGGTCTTGTATTAACGCCCCACCTAGTGTTACAACTGAAACTGCCAGGTATAGTATGTATGCATTTACGACTGAAATATATAGAACGTTTGAAAATACGATGACTGGCCACCTGGCAGTTTTTCTTCTACAAGTATAGCAAGAAATCATTTTTAGGGTGTCCACAGCACCTTGTGTTTAATTGTAATCTAGAATTTCTTGTAGTTTCTTTTAGATTCCGTAGGATCAACTTTTTTTTATTAAATTGTAGTATGCTTTAAACAATAACACATTTATTTCGTTTGGATATGTATGAGACCAGTATAGTGCCTTTTGTTAGAAAAGTGAATGAATAAACTTCGTTGCTTTTGGATTGAGCCAACTAAGAAAAATAGAAGTTTTGTTTCTTCTCATTGCTCCAATCATAGTAATATTACTTCTCATACATACTTCTCATACTTTTTGTACAGCATTTGTCAAAGCCTGTATGAGGAAAATTTTTTTTCACTCATTGCGTTATGCTTTTTTGGACCACTATTTTATAAATCAAGGACAGCCTTAATTCCCTGATTTTCCTGAGATTATTGACTTGTTGTTCTTTCAAGATATTATTGAATAATCCTCGCATAACTTTTTTATTGTATATTGTGATGCCACAATGGGCACTACATATTTCCTTGTCTTTAAAATATTTTTAATTGCTTAAAATTACTTTTTTTCTTAATCGAATTATATTTAGTTCAAATCAATGAATTAATCTCAATAGAAGCGAACATAAAATATTTTATTCTTTTCTTATCGATCAATGTGACGGATAACTTTTTATTTCTATGGTAATGGAGACTCATTAATTAACTGCCTCGCCTAATCAAAAACAGAAATCTATTTATCTCTTTATTACTAATTTCTTACCTCAAATATGTTTCAGTTACATGGTAACTCTGATAATTCTCCTAGTCTTGTTGGAAATTCGCGATCACTAAAGTATTTTCAAACCTAATATTGATTATGCAGTGTTGGCTTTATTTCGGCAATGCTATATTTCGATAATTCGAAAATCTTGGATCTCTTCTTCATGCTGCTGCGTCCGTTTGGAATAAATTCATTCATTTTCAATTTCAAATTTGTGGTGATGGGTGTGCCCTTGCGGGCCTCCCAGTGCCAATTGTTCAAATATCATTAATGTTATCAAAATCTCTCGATGTGGGAAAGGGTTCAGTATTGATCTCTCTGGGGAATTTTCTTTTCTTTATGATTTTTGTGTTTTAAATATTCTCTTTTTGAATATACTAATTCTTACTTTACTAAATAATTTTTTTACTTAACTGATTTTATTTTTATCTCCAGGAGTCAACTTTACCACCCCTATGGTTTTTATATGGCGATCAGCTTCTTCATATACATTGGCTTTGTAGACCTGTGGTATCGGAAATCGGAATGGGTGTTTCCTCTGAGTGAAATCAACTGCTCATAATATATTGCATATGCACTTAGGTCAAAATTTATGCAATATCTCCAGCCATATATCCCACAAGTTGCGAAGGGATGCTAGTTTATTCTTTTCTCTAGTATAGGAACGAGTTTTTCGATCATCAAATCTTTAAGCTCTTGGTATATGGAAGAATCTTTCGAAACTCATAGTTTCACTAAAAGTAGCTCTGCCTGTAAGTGCATTCCACAAGGTTTTTATACATTCATTGCAGGGTTTGAATACACTTACAAGTAAAATTAAATCCGTATATGCTCTAAATTCTGCACTGTCATTACTTTCCACTTATTCCCAAATACACGAGTTCCCTCGATATTTGAATTCGTGATGACAATTTTCTCGATGTGCTTTGCATGAAACAATCGAAAAGCAGACAGTCTGTCAATAATTCTTGAGGCAGGCTCCGGTGTAAAATTCAAAATATTCCTCGATACTCATCAGTCTGTTTGCAATGGAGGATCACATCTATACTGATTCGATTTATCCCTTGATAAAGGTGCAGTCCGTAAATTAAAAAAGTGAATTAGAAAGTTAAAAAAGTGTGACATTCTAACTTCGACACGATTTTTTCATTATCTGATTCAGCCAGCATTGTATCACAAATGTCTTCATCTGATAAAGGTCAATCCATCATTGCGTTTATACATAAGAGCACTGCTAGAAGTCAGATCAGGTACAAGAGTTACTAACTACACATATCTATCACACGATTTAGAAACTGTGAAACTCAAAGGAGAAAGGAAAATCCCCCCCCCCAATGTCTTAATTGATTACGTATTTCATTCTGATCTATTCAAAAACAGTTGCAAGGAATAAGGGAAATTCCCTGAAATGACTTCGAAACATTTGTACTGACTACACATCTTTCTCCCGACATTACATGACTAAAAATTACATTACTGAAAAGCTAACATTAGATGATAGAAATGCTAAAAATAAAAATAGTAAACTCACCAACTTAATGCATAACAAAATTAAAAGTGAAAGAAAGAATTCTAAAAAAAATTATCAAACAGCAACTGTCGCAATATCAACGAATGCGCACTGTTTACTATTACTCTAGATTATTGTAGTTGAAAAGAGAGGACGCCATCAAGTCCAAGGCAAGACCCATTTTGTCAATGGTTAAAATGTTTTTCACGCAATGGAATGCATGCCTTTAAAAGTAGATTAATTATTATTATACAAAATCTATTTATAATATGTATTAATAAAAAATGTATTACTCATTTATAAATATATAAAATATGAATCTACTTTTATCGATAGAATTGCACTATTTGCTTTTTAAATGTATGGCATAAATGTATTTTTTAATAATGGCATATTTAAAGGAACAAGAGCACAGTAAACATGAGCTTCTTTTCGCAAATTGGCTTCCGTTTCAGTTATCTGAAATGAATATAATTCTTATAAGAGCAAAATAAACGAAGTCATGATGCCACAACAAAGAGGGTGCGTTATTTCTCATTTTATAGAAAAATTAAAGAATTTTATAGAATATTAAAAAGCTTTTAGGTCGAAAGGGACCTAAACACAGCAACAAGAATAAATATTTTGAGTAATTTCTACATATTTTTACCTGAGTAAATAAACAAATATAATAATAATTTTTATCACAATTCAGCAGCAATTAAATGAAAAAATATTGGATAAATGTTCTGCATTTTCTTAAATAAATTTCAGTGCTTGTCTTTTATGGTTGAATGTACTAATTTTTAAAGTGATGAGAAAATATATAATTTAAAGAAAATGAACAATTCATTTATGTATTTGTTCCGAATTAACAAATAATGTAGGAAATGTATTTTGCATGTTATGGGCACGTAAAGGGATAAAATGTAAGTTTTAATCTGATTTATTTTTTTTAAATATACGTTTATTAAAGAAATAGACTTATTTTAAAAAATCAGCTGTGTAATTAGTTTTTTTAAGGCTTGCCCAAATACTAATGATAAAACAAGTCGTTCACCATAAATATAAATTTAAAACAATAAAGTTTCTAAGTTTTTTTTTAAAGTATAAAATAACATTTTTGAAAATATAATATTTTTGATAAATAGTAGATGTTTTCTAAATATTCTTCGAATTCATTAAAATTTGCAGTCTTGCTGTTTTCAGAACCCTCATAAAATTTTGACAGTTAGTATAATTCATAATTTTGCTATTATCTCTATGTTTTCTGCAAAAAATGCATTTTCGTATATTCTGAAATTATTTTTTCTACTTAAGCTTTTCAAAGGCTCTGTTTTTACATGAAATAAGCCTTTTTGAAAATAATGTGTCATTTTTAAAGCTGTTTCATTATGAGTTTGCAGCCGTCATGCTAAGTTTAGCCCATTTTTAGCCTTTCTACGCTAATTTTTAAAATGACGTAAAACGTCAATATAAAAAGAATAGAGTTTTGCGGAAAAAAATATTTAAAAAAAATATTTATGATCTTTTTTTTTCTTTTTTGATATTCAAATGATTACTTTTAGCCTGCATTAATCTAGGCTCTTAAACATTTGCAAAAATGGAAAATTGTTCACAAATTTTTAATAATTATCATCTAGTCGGAGAAAAATCTAAAAAATTAAATGAATTTTTTTTTTTTGAAAAATAGAGTCTAATAATTCTAAACTCATTTGAAATATTTGTCTATTTTAAGACTGACAAAATGTAAAATTTAAATTAAATTATAGCATTGTTAGTGTAGGGTATTTTAGCACTAGATTTTTACATTTCCTCGGCAAAGAACTTCGAAAGTGTGTGAGTGGTTATCATCTTGTTAAATAAAATTCAATTCAAAACGAAAAAATTCTATTGCAATTTTAATAATTATACTTATTACGTTTCAGTTCTTGATTTGCTTTATCTTATGTGATAATTTACTGAATTTAGTAAACATTTGAAATAACAGAAAAAAAAGGAAATATTTTAAAATGTTTTGAAATGCTCTACATAAACGCCAGTTAGTGAATTGCGACTGAAAACTTAATTTTGTTGTAAGTTGTTTTTTGAAAAACATTTTGTCAAAGGAAAAAGCAAGTTTTTTGAAAAAGGGAACCCGATCATGACATCACGACTGTGAGATGGGGGAGAGAAAAGGCTCTCACTAAGCGGAGCGGGCGGGAAACGAACTGTGTTAGAGTCGTGATATTTTTGGAACAGGTGAAAATTAAAGAAACATGTACGGAAGATGCAAAAAAAATTTCATGCAGAATGATAACATAGGAATTAACAAATACAAGAGTGAAAAAACAGGGTTTTAATGAAACAAGAATAACTAAATAGAAAATCAAAACTGAGCATAAGCACTTCCTTACTTACCATTATCCATTCAAGTAAGCTAATCCATGTTGAAAATAATAAGTTTCAACAGTTTATTTGTAATACAAAACACTGCAAACTAAATATTTTTACATTCATTGCCTTTAAAGCAACATTCTTAATAAAAAAATTACTAAAATAATTTTTAAAAAAATAATAATAATGAATTGAATTAAAATGTCGCTTAAAAATTTCTAATTAAACTTCATTTCATGGTTATAAAGTTTTTGACGCTGTTTAAACAAATTAATTGCAAAGTGAATGGTATTTTTTATTAAATATAAATTTTTAGCAAAATCATACTAATTCTAGGTTGTAGCTTTTAAGTGAATGAGAGATTGCTATGACTCAACTTAATCCTAATCGCGACAGTTATGATCAAGAACTTGAACTCTTAAACTTTCATTCGACTGAACAATCTAAACTGTCTTTGTAGTATGACGATTTATATTAACCTTCTTTAATACTTCCAATGCTAATAAATTCTAAAATAATGTCATTTCTAATGATTAGTCTCTTGGACATTAACCAACCACCACAGTGGTGACAGTCGGATGTTCATATAATAAGATTATGTTTCAAATGGAATAGCTTGTTTCACTTTGTATATCGGAAGTTTCATTAAAAAAAAACGGTACTACAGCTTTTTATTATTTGTTTCTTAATTTCAACCGGAGTACATATTACATATCGTATATATATATATATANTATATATATATTCAACTAAATTAAATTTGCAGAAACATGTCACTGCTTACAAGGAGGAGATTAAAAAAATAGGTAAAATAAATTTTTCACATCAATTTTTAAAAGCTGCCTTTAGAATCAATGATGAATTCCACAATCATCTGTTACGATTTTGAGAACATTGTTATTGCAAAATCAATTTCTGTGAATATGTTTTCGTTTCATAATTTTGGTTCCAACTAATTTACAATATAATTCACTATATTTGTATTTTGGTTAATTGCGTATTGATACAAAGCTTGAAAAAGGTGAATAATAAAGTTGGAAGAAAGTATTAGGGGGGAAGCAAATATAGCAAATTCGAACAAATATTGAAACCAACCTATTTTTTTTTAAAATTAATTTAATATTTATGGAAATACTAAATAAAAAGTCAATAAATTGAAGTTGAAAGAAATATTCCTCAAGTGAAAACACTAAGCACTATAAGCTTTAAAAAAACTACACAGCTTTAAAAAAACATGAACTTACAATTTAAATTTAATCAGAAAAAAAGCAGTAATACAACTGAAAAACTAAATTTGATAAGGCTAATTTTTAACTTGAAACAATCTACACTTGCAATAACTTACCACAGGATCATGGTGCCAAAGTGGAGGAGAGGTCGAGGGTATGAATGTAACTGCAAGTCAATTTACTTGGACAGTTACCATTGAAAAGAAAAAGTATTTATGCAAAAACTGAAAATTATAATTTGATCTTACCGTACAAAAAATTTAAATGATAAGTAAAACCATAATTTTAAAACAATTATACTCATAACAGAAGGGAAAGTAAATAAGGCATCTAAATTTTTTTTCTTTTGATACCGCAAATCTAATGACATTTTTAAAAATTGCTACCAAAACTAAAATTAGTATATCCAGTGTGCCATGGGACAAAGTCAACAGAAATAATTTATTACGATA